TATCAATCATGTACTTATGTAATGGTACACAATAATATTTGTAGTTTTATGAGGTAACTAACATAAATTTTACTTTTTATGATTTAACGATATAGTATTTTAATTGTTTTTATTTCTATCACAATTCATTAATATTCATAATGAGTTACAATATATATTTTTGTGTTATTAAGAATATGATTTAAACTCGGTTATATGTTTTTTTGGATTTACATGATATGGATTAAAACATGAGAATTTTGATATAAAATGATTTATACTGGTGTTAAGATCTACGTTAAATAATATTTTAAATTTTAACTGATTACTAATTTAAAATTAAATTTTTTGTCTCATTAAATTTTATTATATTTATCCGCGTTTTAACGCGGATCATATTCTAGTTCTTTATATTTTAAAAAAATCTTCTCGAACTATATTACGTCAAAATCATATATTTGCAATCGTTATTTTTGATTTTAATTTAAAATGCTTTATTGGAAAACAAGATTTTGCAATTATATTCCATGATAATACGAGAAAATATGTAAGAACAACTTTTTCTTTTTGAAAAAAAACATGTTGATCTACTCTTTCTTCCTCTGTTTATAAATTTCAGTTCATAAAAAATAACAGAAAAAGATGTATGTTTTCTGTGTATGTTTTCGTCACTTTAGGAATGCAAATTCTTCTTTTCAAGTATATATATATATGTGTAACAACACAATGAAAAAGAGCTCGAACTGGTTATGAAACATAGACTATTAATTTGGTTTTTGTAAAAAGAAAATCCTAAAGATTTACACAAATAGAAAGAGTAATTTGGTCTTTTTGTAAAGGTCTCTACTCCGTCTTCACCTTTGGAGTAGATCTGTTGTAGATAGCATAAGCTATTAGCTGAGAACCACACAACAATGTTCCAAGACCACTGGCTATCTATACAACACCAGAAACAAAACATAAAACAAATCGAATGAATCTATTAATCATAATGGTATGTGAATTTTAGAAAAAGTATAGACTTACAAGGGCGTAGAGATCGAAAATGTAGGTCAACGAGTAAGCAGTCCAAATCACAGCACCGATGAAATTAAGGGAATACAAGCGTAATGGTATGTGCTCCACAGACTTTGTCTCCACTACTGTTTTCTGTTTTTCAAGCAATAAGTTAAAAACATACTTGAATAATATTTCAATCGAGAGAGATGAGGACTTACGATGGAAGAAAGTGGAACTCTAACACTACATATAAAGTAGGAGACAACGCAAATAACACCAACGAATGTTTGTTTAGCAGATGAGCTTTGAATTGCGAAAAGCGTAAGAAGAACAATGGCTACCATGAAAGTGATCACACCCACCAGTTTTAACACAATGTACTCCTG